AAAATCAGATCTATATGAGATTGGTATGTTAGTATTTGGATGTTATACAGTATGAGATACCTTTCCAATTCCAAGCAGATAGTCCCTTATAAACCTCTTTAATAATGAATTAAAATATATTTTTAGATTTCAAAACAAAATCAATGTTTTATTGTTTGTTTTATTAGATTTCTAATGAGAAGTATTAGTACAGTTGATTCAGTGCTATGGGTCTTTAATCAATTTTTCCGGATCATTAGAACACCTCTACTTTTAATTTATACAAGTATTATTTGTTCACTAATCAAATATATAATATGTGAAATCTTAAATTCTTAATCCTTAATTGATTGTAAACTTTACAAGATGTTTAAGGTCTATATTTTTGAATAGATTTATAAAGTTTTATGTCTCAGATTGTTCACTTACCATATTATTTTAATAGACTTTATATTGTACACTTCTCTCTATTATATTGTACACTTCTCTCTATTATATTGTACTCTTCTCTCTATACTTGTACACTTCTCTCTATTATATTGTACACTTCTCTCTATTATATTGTACACTTCTCTCTATACTTGTACACTTCTCTGTATACTTGTACACTTCTCTCTATTATATTGTACACTTCTCTCTATTATATTGTACACTTCTCTCTATTATATTGTACACTTCTCTCTATACTTGTACACTTCTCTCTATACTTGTACACTTCTCTCTATTATATTGTACTCTTCCCTCTATACTTGTACACTTCTCTCTATTATATTGTACACTTCTCTCTATTATATTGTACTCTTCTCTCTATTATATTGTACACTTCTCTGTATTATATTGTACTCTTCTCTCTATACTTGTACACTTCTCTGTATTATATTGTACACTTCTCTCTATTATATTGTACTCTTCTCTCTATACTTGTACACTTCTCTCTATTATATTGTACACTTCTCTCTATTATATTGTACACTTCTCTCTATACTTGTACACTTCTCTCTATTATATTGTACACTTCTCTCTATTATATTGTACTCTTCTCTCTATACTTGTACACTTCTCTCTATTATATTGTACACTTCTCTCTATACTTGTACACTTCTCTCTATTATATTGTACACTTCTCTCTATACTTGTACACTTCTCTCTATTATATTGTACACTTCTCTGTATTATATTGTACACTTCTCTCTATACTTGTACACTTCTCTCTATTATATTGTACACTTCTCTCTATTATATTGTACACTTCTCTCTATTATATTGTACACTTCTCTGTATTATATTGTACACTTCTCTGTATTATATTGTACACTTCTCTCTATACTTGTACACTTCTCTCTATTATATTGTACACTTCTCTGTATTATATTGTACACTTCTCTCTATACTTGTACACTTCTCTCTATTATATTGTACACTTCTCTCTATACTTGTACACTTCTCTCTATTATATTTTACACTTCTCTCTATTATATTGTACTCTTCTCTCA